GAATTCCAGTACTATTGAAGCAGGTCAGAAAACATCCAGTTGATCTGACAGTGATTAGAGAAAAAATCCAGAACCACTAAATCTCATTTGTTTTTTATTCTTTATGCGACTAAATAATTAAATTGCCCTTAATGGTAAAAAAGTTTATTTCCAACTAGAAAAAAGGCAAGTATTCCCATTTAAAAAAAAATTCATATATGTATTATTTTTTAAATAATACATTTTGCTCACTGTGGTTCAAGGCTGGTTTCCATTGCCAAGCACATAAGCTGCAGTTCATGTCTCTACTGGCAAGCCAGTTACATGCCAAGTCTTGGAAAAGTTGAGCACAAAAGGGTGATAGAAGAACCAGTGCTGATCCAGCTGCGTGCATCCAGAGGGATTACTGCAGCACCTCAAAACTGAAGGTGTTATTTTGCTAGCAATTATTATGGGACCTAGAGACCAAGACTATTGGGCTCTTCTCTATCCCCTTCACAACAATTTTAGCAAAAGATTTGCTGTTGCATCTAACCTCACAATATACAGAAGCTGGCACCACCTTTAAAAGATGCTTAATATTTTAAGGAGGGATGGGAACAAGGATAGGAGCATGAAGAGAAATAAAGAACTTCCCATTGCTCACATCAGGTCCACACTCACTGTAGAGCTGCTGGCTTCCAGAGTGTTAGCAACACACCAGAGCTGAAGTGCAACTCTCTCTGCAATGAAAAACTTATTTGAAACCCTGGAAATCACTGTTTTTTTCACTGAGGCAATTAAGGCTAATTAAGGGAAAAAAGCTGTTATGGATAGAAGAGACAGCTCCTTCATGACCATTTAGCCCACACAAGTCTATTTAGATGATTGCTGGGATGCTCTGCACCAATGGCCACATCTGGGACCCACAGCAAGAGTGGCCAGAGCATCCTCCCAGGCTGTAAGGGCAGCAGGCAAGGCCTGGGGAAGCTTAGGCAGGCATTCCAACCCCTATCCATGTATGCACTGCTGCTCAGCAGTCCCTCCTCTCTGCAAGGGTCAGACCCCCCTGAGGCCAGCAAAGCCTCAGGACAGCAATTCCAAAAACCCTGAGGACACCCACAAATGCTTGTCAGCAATGGATGTCATGCTGACTTCAAGGACAAGTGCGCAGATGCAACTGCGGTTCAACTCACATGCGTACCAATGTGTGAGAAAGACTTCAAAGCATCCCCTTTGCCTTCTGGCCCATTTCTTCAAGCCCACTCTACATGAAAAGCAGCTCAAACTCATTTCCAGGACAGAAATCATTATTCTAGACTGTATTTGTACAAAGCAGGACAGTGAAGGGAATCTATGATTCACCTTGCTAGAGAGCCTGCATTTCTGTTAGCTGGTTTCCCCTCCAGTGCTACCGCAGCACACCACTTTGTGGGCACACTCACTGCCTTCAAATCAGCCCAAAGCCATTGCTGTCTTCCACATGCTTTGCTGCTGCCTGACCTGCTTGGCAGCCAGATCCACAATCATCAGGCTGGTTGCTAGGGAAAAAGACCCAAAAATAAAAAGATAAAAAACCCTGTTGCCTTTCTGTTGAGGCAGCAATACCCAGCAGGATGGTAAGCAAAGGGGAGTGGTGGCAGCAGCAAAGCTTAACCCACCACTGCACGCCTCTCAAGGACTGCCAGTGCTGCCATGCTCTGGGATACCACTCACGAGACGATTTACTAGTAAAACACAAAAACGCTAAACAGAAGCAAACCCAGTGCCCCTCCTCACCCCCAGAGCTACACAGAAAAACACACCCCAGTTCTGGATGCCTTGGCACTCTTCCTCACCTCTGGCCCTACTCCCAGGACGGAGCTAATTGGAGCCATGGGTTGTGTCACCCTGTCACTTGCTGGGAGTAGCTGGAGGCAGATTTCCTATTTTGGATCTGGCAGGCAAGAGCAAAGCTGAGACCATCTGGCTGCCGTGCTCCATTCCTCGCCAGGCAGTGTCAGGGAAAGCACGGGAAGGGCAGGCAGCAGGGATGAGTGCCCAGTGATGCTCCCAGCACACAGGCACTCCAGAAAGGGGGAAGTGTGAAACCCAACGGTGAGGCAGACAAGAGCCAGGGCTTTTGTCCCTATCTTCCTGAAAGCATTTTGCCTGCAGTGGCCATCTCTGGGCATGACATAACCAAATCCATTATCTTCACTATTATCCCACTGAGATAGGGCAAAAGCAGGAAGGTCAGTGTCACTTCCCTCTTCAAGATCCCCAAGGGCTCTTAAAGCAACCAACTTGCTGTGGAGAGGTCAGACTGCTCCAGCTTGTACTGGTATCTGCAGAGATGGACTAGCTCAGCCTTTTCCCACGGGCTCTCATAACCAATTGAATCACAGTTTTGTTTTGTTTTTAAATGTTACTTTAAGTGTACGGTCAATAAACACCTAAGATGTGGTTCACCAGTTGTCAGCATCCAACTTATTAATGCCTCTAGCTAACTTGAAGAATGTTTTCTGACCTGCTATCAACACCTTGCCCAGACACACAGAGCACTTCAGGAGCAGTGGTACACAAGGGCAAGAAGGATTTTAGGTTTTCATCTACAAATAAAGCAAATAAATGCATATTAGACCATAAGCCTAGCTCAGAGGAAGAGCAAGTATTTCTCTTTATCACAAAAGCATGAAAGTGTGGTGCTCCAGCTATCCCCATCTGCGGTAGCACTTAGTCTTGACAGCACTGAAGCAGTTAACTTGCCATCTGCTGGAGCATTGGGTCCACAGCCAGAATGGAAGTGCCAAAAGCCAAGACTGCAACAAGTGGTTAAGGATCAGAGGATTCACGAGCCGTGCTGAGGAAAAGCCCATGAACAAGAGCTCATTTAATAACCTCTCAAGCCAGCACACAAAACAACTCCCTGGATGCAGTGCCAAGGTGCTGAGGGGAAGAGTGTGAATGGAGGGGAAATACTGCTTGTGGGCAACCCCAACCCCAGGAGCTCCCTCCTTGTGGATGGATAAGTGAGTGGGGAACAGCTGCCTGTGCGCATGGGGCTGCAAGAGCAGCTGCCGCAGTGGTCCAGTCTGGCTGGAAGGGAAGCTGAGAGCAGGGACTGCTCCTCTCCTCCTGCTCCCATAGCAGGCTGAAGGCAGATAAGCACCACGTGTAGTACCCTAGTAGCTGCCCTGCTCCCCAAATCCTTCTCCCAGTTCCCCATTGCCATCAATTCCCATGCACTGACCAGCTGTGTTAATTATCTGTCTTCTCCTGTAGACAACCTGAGAAAACAGCTTTTAACAAAACAGCTCCAAGTTTGGGGCAGGGGAAAGGACACAGAGAGAAATTAGGAGACACCAAAGCACTGCTTTCCCGCTCCCCCTCCTCACTAAGTACAAACCCTACAGTAGAAGTTTTTCTCCTCTGACAGTATTTATTGCTTCCCCCTGTCCTGCAGCAAAGCCTGGCTGGCTTTTAAAAGCCTCCTGACAGATCCCAGGACCAGGGCCCTGCGCCAGACACAAAAAAATGGTTTGCAAGAAGAAAAAGGAAGAAAAAACAAAATCCCCCAAAAGCCCCAGCTCTGGAGGCCAACCCCAGAGAGGATTCCACTCCCAGAGCTGAAATATCATGTGCATGTGTACACTGGATGCCAGAGGAAAGACGGAGGAGTATCAGTTGAGAGGGGGGAAGAGGGGGAAGGGGTAAAAAAAGAAAAAGCAAAAAGAAATCCCAGCTTTCAGACTCCAAAGGGCTGGCTGGGAAAGGCAGCAGCTGAAAGAAATGCACTGCTGTTATTACTGCATGGAAATTACAGCCGCCAGAAGGAATCCAGGCCAATCTGTTGCTGAATATAACTTTAAAAAGACATCCAGCCTCAAAACATGGGCCATTCCTGGGTGTCACAAGGCCAACACAGTGGTGGGACCCGTACTCTGCTCCCCACCGCCTTCTAAATAGCAAAAGCCGAGAACAAAGACAAAACAGAAAGAGGTGGAAGAGCAACAGATGCACAACAGGTGGGACAGAAGGACTTGGCTCCTGCATTCCAGGTCCCCCAGGTTTTGGGAGAAATATGTTAACTAGGGAGACATCAGTTGCTGGCCTCCGGAAGGAAGGAGATGTTTGGTCTGGTTCCTGGAAAGGAGCTTAACTTCTTAAGAGTTCCTTTTTTTTTTTTTTGTTAATTGAAATCTACAAAAGGGAAATGCTGCAAATACAGCTCTGGGTGTGCAGCAGGAGAGGGGAGACAACAAGAGAGGGAAACCCGCTGCTATTTACAGCAGGCCTGTAACGAGGCACAGTCAGGGAGAGGGCTCAGGCATGCAGTTTTGTAGGCAAGCAGGGAAAACCAAAGGAGAATCCTTTCCAGAAGGTAATTTCAGCTCTAGGTGAGAACAGGACATTGGATCAGACGGGTCCTGTCCCCAGCCCCAGCAGCTTGCGCTTCAAGCCAGCTCCAGCCTGGCAGCCAGCCCGTCCTGCAAGCGTCTCCCCCTCGTCTGTGAGGGATCATTGGAGCACAGGGCAAAAATAGGCGATTTAATCTCCCAGCAAGCCAGCATGCTGTCAAATTAATAAAAAATGTGCTAAGCTTAACCATAACACACAGAGGCTCCACCTGCCCCTCCTGGAGAATATGAGTCATGAGCTCACCGAGCTTCACTTTCCGTTGCCAGGGGCTCCATCAGCTACTTTTATATCCCTTTGGATAGGAAATGAGATACGCTTCCAAGAAGTCCCCCCTCTTCCCAAACGTGCTCTGGGGACAGCAGCAGAGAACAGCGGGAGAACCTGCTATGCTGCAATTCATCTTTTGTGCTTTTAATTGCTGTGACTTTGGGTTCTGTGCTTGGGCCGCAGCCAACATTCAACATATGCTTTGACTGGCATGGCAGGAGATGTTTTGGGCAGTAGAGGGGCAGCAGGAGGTAATTTTAGTCTGACCTTCTTGCTGCTCACCTGGAGCTTTCCGCCCTGCTTTTGGGCACACTGCAGCTCCCCCTGGGGCACGATACCCATGCAGCAATGCCAGCATGCTCACACCTACTTACCGACGTAGAAGGTGTTAGGGGCCTGCTTCTCGCCCAGATGCAGGTAGAGGATATTCGTCGTCTGAGAGTCATGCCGGAGCCACAGGGCCACTCCCAGGATGATGCCTCCTGCCAGCTGGGGAGAAAGCAGAGGGAAGCAGACGTTACCTACTGCTCCAGCAGCACCAGACCCCAAGCAGCAGTTTTCAGGTGGGAGCAGAAGGCTTGCTTTTCATCTTTCTGCAAAGTCTTATTTACTCTTTTCACGTATGAGAGCATCCTTCTCAACCACTGTCCTACCCCTGCAACGTGCTTTGTGCCCCATACCACATGAGCCACACAATCTTCCCTGCTTTGTGAAAAGATCCCTCATTCTGGCGATGTGCAAAGCCCCTTCCAGTTCCTGCAGGTGATTTCTTTTCTAAAAGCACTTCTGTTACTCAATTAAAATGGAAGGCTCAGCCTTACCCAAGAAGCACGACACGTGCAACTCAGGCTTTTAGGAGAGTTTTTTAACAGAACTTAGGATGAGCCCCAACTAGACCCTTTTCCCAACAGGCTGTCATCACCCCATTTCATTTCTCTGTGATGTACAAAGAGGGTTTTGTTTGATCTGCTGAGAACTTGGTAGAAAGGATGAGGAGATTGTGGCTTAGAAAGCAGGAGCTTTTTCCCTCAGCCTCCAGTCTCATGTGCCCATTACTTTCCATTCATGGTCAGGCTTCCACTCTGAGCAGACCTAGTGCTCCTCTGGCAGGTAAGGCTTTCCTTAACATCCTAATACAGGGATTGAAGCAGAGCAAAGCCTCAGTACAGGCCAAGGAACAACCACACCGCTTCTGGAGGCTACCACGAAGATGCTCAACAGAGCTGAGCAGCTCTGCAAGTCAACAAGGCTGAAACTGCTGCCTCGCCTGCTGTTGTGCTCCAGCAGAAGAGCAGAGCACTCACACACACATGGAAGCCCCCAGGGCAAGGGCAAAAACACATCCAACACAGGAGATGTTCTGTGCTTGGAGCATCGACCCAGCTTACCACTGGAATACTTATGTCCAAGTTATGTGATGTTAGATGACTTTTCTCTTTCAGGGCGGGGCTGGGAACGGCAGGGGAGGATTGGGAAGCAGAGTGGGGGCACTGCAGCAGGGAAGGTGTCACTGAGAGGAAGTCCAGCCAGAGTTCCAGCAGGACTCGCTGTGTTCTCCATGCCACCCATCCCCTCTTCCATTTAAAACCACGAGGGGAGGGGAATATAAACGCATGTAAAAAACCCCAAACAACAAACCCTTAAGAATGTAATATCACTTCTATGAAAGGCTGGAAGCCCCTGTTCAAATGATGATGTAATCTTGAGAGTCCTAAACCCTAGAAGCCACTCAATAAAGGGAAGTTAACTACCAAAGATTGGAGAAGTGCAAACATGATTTCTTTCAACAGAGTCAGAGCCAGGTCGGCGACGGGCATGAGAGGCCCCATGACAGTCACATTGAGAAAAAGCACAAAAAGAATTTGTTCAGTGAAAGTGCAAAGTCCTCAGTTGTGAGGCACAACAGAGCCACAGTGAACACACAGGGACTGGGATGTACAAGACAGGCTGTCAGGAGGTCAGCTGGTGGTTCTCCTCCTTGATCATTTCTGCAAGTCCCAGCCAAGGGATTTTTACAGGGGTGCCACAGAAGCCAGGCAGAACCACACAACTAATGCAAAACTCACAGGGCAAGCCGACCCTGGGGATTTTCTATGGACCAGAGGGAGAAAATCCCCGCTCAGCACCCTGGAGCAGGAGGGAAGATTTTAGAAGTCTTTCCCCAGTTTGCTTCCAAAACAATCAGCTTTTAACACTTCTCCCACAGCAACCAATGCAACTTCCCCACTGGCACTGTCCATCACCCCTCTTGCACTTGGGAGAGCCTGAGGTTCTCCAAACACTGGCTATGGAGAAAAGTCATGACAGCCGGCCTGTGCTCAAATCCAACTCCAAATAAGGCAGCTTGTGGCTTTGCAGAAAGTTACCCAAATCCAGCCTGGCATGGCTCGTTCATTGTCTGAGGGCATAACGAAGTCAGTGTTTATCCTCTCGGGAGAAGAAAAATGTCCCCAAATTAATCAGTGCCACTTTTAAAGAAAAGGTCTCTCAGGGGCTCCCAGGGGAGAAGAGATCCCAAGGAAGTTTTGGGGGTTTGTGCTGGTTGGGAGAGATGAAGAAAAGGCAGCAGCTCTTCTTGGTTTGTTTTAACCTGTGCAAGGAAACACTGCTCTGCCCTGGCATGCTGTCCTCTGCACCCAGCAGTACCCACCCCAGCACCCCCTGCCACCCACGGAGACGTTGGGGCAACACCAACACAAGGAGTAGTAGCTGCTTTCTGATCAAATTTGCCCTAAAGCATCTGACACAGAACGGAAAGCAGCCTGCAAGCTACCCTCAAGATACTTCTCAATCATTCAGGAGCATCAGCTGAAGGGCTCTTCAGACTCATCAAACCTAGCCCAGTGGTGAAGTCTGCTGATGGCAGCCAGCTGAACCATCTCCAGATGTTCCCAGTTTCATCCCGAATGCGCCCTAGGAACATCCCACATCTCTCCCACTCTGCCTGACTCCATTTGCTTTTTTAAGAGAGCACAGAGGACCTCCAAATGGAAGTTTTAATCCAACAGCAGCTGGATTTCTTAAGAGAAAATGACATTCACTTACTAATGAAAACAGGGTTTAAGCTATGGTGAATAACTTTTTCCATTAAATCCATACAACCTTCCACCAAGAAGCACAGGGAGTAATTAAGGCATCTTTCTTCCCAAAGGAAAGCAGACAGAAGGGAGAAAACCTCATCAGCTCGCTACAGTAACCCTGCCTTCCACTGCACCTTGCTTGGGATAATCTCATTTTAATACAACTTGTTCCAGATATAAGCTTGGTATTTTCTTCCCTCCCCATCTGACAACCACTGCTGTTTGACCATACGAGCCATAACAGCTCAAATCACCAATGGCAGCATCATGCTCATCTCTAGGCTGCATTCCCTCATACATTAAATATTCCTGCAGTTTTTTCTGCTGTAGGTATCTGTGATCTCATGCAGGATACCACTGGTTTTTGTGTGCCCAGCTTGTCACATGGCAGTGTTGGAGGATGGGGCCATCACTTGTCACAGGTGTACCCCAAGCTTTCCAGTTACATTTTTGGGGACTGCTTCAATAAAAGCAACACTCTAAGATGTGCAACTTCAGCAACACCAGCACTTTGAGACCTGTTTTCCACAAGCCAAACTCCCTAGCTGGCCGTTCCTCTGCCAAGACAAAAGCACTGTCAGAGGTGCATCCCCAGTGCTTCCCAGGATGCGGCCGGCCATGGAGATGGCGCCCCAGCAGCCCTCCAGCACAGAAGAGGTGGCGCAGCAGGCTCCAGCCTTTCCTCTTTACTGCTATTTTCCAGCTTCCAGAGATTTATTGCTTCTTCCACAGACTGCCAGACTTTTCCAGCTGGATCCTGCCTGCCCAAGGCTTGCTTTTTGCAGGGACACTGTTTCCATTTGGCACGGCAGGGAAAAGCCCCCATGGGATGCTGTGTAGGGGAGGGGAAAAGCAGCCCCCTAAGGGGTTAGTGTACCACTGTCTGAGCGTCATGACGATGGCAGGTGCACAGCCCTAATTTGCTGCCCCATCCACCATGCACATAGCAGGACTCCCTCCTGGATTAAGCCTCATTGACCAATATGCTTACCCTAAAATTTCCTATATCCAGCTGCGGGGCAAGGGAACAAGCCCATCTTTCAGGGTTGTCACTCCTCCCCTCCATGGTTTAGTGGTGCATGGAATAGCCCTGTTCCCCCTTTAACATGGGGCACCCCATGTCCAAGCTGCTCCCACCTTGGCCTGTTACTGCCCTGACACTCATGCCAGGATGCGCATCGCCCCCTTGTCCCTTCCGCTACCCCCAGCCCTTTTCCTCCTGCTCCCTTTCCTCCGCCCCTCTCCAAAATAGGTTTCCTGGCAGGGGGGCAGGAGGAAGAGGTAGTCCCGGCTATAGGGTGTCTTGCTGGAAGTGTCAAAGAGACACAGACATCCTGCAGCTCAAGCCATGGAGGAGGGAAGTGGAGGTGCCAGCAGTTTCACAATGCTGTATTTTTAGCAGTGCCGCTTCCCGCAGCCATGGCCAGTCCTGCTGCTGAGACACTGCTTCCCAAACCGCATGAGCCACAGGGCCAGAAGAACCTCCTGCCCTGCTGCAAAAACGCCACTGGCGGAGCCCACACCACTATAACTGTGAAATCATAGGGTGGTTTGGGTTGGAAAGGAGCTTAAGATCATTTGGTTCCCATCCCCTGCCACGGGCAAGGACACCTTCCACTAGACCAGGTTGCTCAAATCTCCATCCAACCTGGCCTTGAACACTGCCAGGGATGGGGCAGCACAGTTACTAACAAGAAGCCAGATGCTGCCAATGAAGCTCATCAGATTTAGGCTGGTTTATGATCTGGGTAGATGATCAGAGATTTTCAACAAGTTTTGACACAGGCTTGCAGCTTCCCTTACACTGCCTCAAAGCTGAGCCCTTTGGTAGGCAGCAGCAGCACCTGGATCCTACTCAAGGCCCCCCATAGCTCCTCTCCAGCACAACCTGCAAAGCAACTGAGATGTAGTATAACTGAATTCTCCTCCGTTTAAGTGTGGGGAAGTGGGACACAGAAGGACAAAATGGCTTGCCAAGGCTGAAGTATCTTGCAGTGCAAGAAGCCACTTGCGCAGCCAGGAATGAACTGCTAATTTGGGTTTGAATGCTTTCCTTCCAGGTTGTCAGTGTCTAGAGCAGCAGATACCATATTCTCCAATATGTGCAGCGTGAATAATGAAAAATCATTCCGTCACCTCACCTAGCATGAGTGGGGAAAAAAAGCAAGAAGCTAGAAATTCGTAACTTGATGGAAATTATCTTTGGAAGAGCAATATGCACTCTGGCAAGATGCATGCTAGGGCCTTACATGTTCTGCACCACCACCTCGAAGAGCAAGGCAGGCAGGGGAGGAGCACAGGACTACTGCTGGCAGGCACACAAATACAGGCAGCACTAAACCTGCCAGCACCCTTCCTAGAAAACACTAGTTGAACTTCTTTTCTATTGCACATAGAGGTACCCTGAGG